AGCCACGCAACACATACCACTATTCACTGACACTAACTGTATACAAATGAATGAGATACCTGTAAAAACATCGTTCCAAATTCTTTCGCTTTTTTGTTTCCGATGCGATGAACCGATACGGCGGATTATATCCATTGTCGCCAAACACGACCACATAATATTGTTATTGAGACAGGGCGGTACTCAAACTTCCAAAGGGCTATAACTTTGTTACTTTAATTTTACCAGGAAAATGGTAAAGGAAAAAAACATTTCTTTTGATCAGATCTACTCACTGTTAAAATAAATGACTCAACTTCGAAGTCACCCTGTATATAGGTAGGTTTGAATATTTGAGGAAAATATTCTTATGAAAAGGCTCCCCTTTTCTGAAAACACTGTGAAACTTGCAAATGGAAACACAATAAGGAATGTGAGAAAAGCTATGGCACCTCATTACAACATTAATTGAATAATTATTATTATTATTATTATGATAATTGAGATGAGCAGAGTACACAATACTATAAGCTCATGCAGTAAATATAGTGTACGGACACGTAACACAAATACATCAAATAGAAAAAAATAATAAAAAAAGACAGTTCATAGCTATAAAGTTTGTACACTCCTCCAGCTATCATACTGCACTTTGAAGCTATTAACTGAAGTAGCACCAACCACACTTTCAGGTAAACTATTCCAGGTGTTGAATATGCGGTTGGGAAGAAACCACTGTCGGACTGTTGTTTTAAATGCCTCCTTATGCAGTTTGAAGCTGTGTCCGCGTAGATTGCTGTGCGACAGACGGTATAGATGCATGAGGTTGGTGCCCATCAAACCATGAAGTATCCTGAACGTAACTATAAGATCGCCACGAAGTCTTCGCTCAGAGAATGAGGTCAGGTTGAATAATTCAAGGCGATCTTCATAGCTTGGTCTTCGTGCTCCAAAAGGGATACGAGTAGCCCGACGCTGTACTGATTCGACGAGATTTCTATCGCGCAGAAGCACAGTGTCCCATACCGGGCCAGCGAATTCAAGAATTGGCCTTACGAATGCCTTGTAAATGTAGGCGCAAGTGTTGACATCGGATCCTTTAATATTGGTGTCTTATCCTCAATCAGTAGCGTAGAAGCTTCCGATTCATTCAACCTTGATTATGCACGCTACTGTTTGATTTTACATCAAATACTTAAACCCAAATATCTCCAAAACAATTGATCTGACAAAAATTCCTTATGTGACAACATTTATGAAAAATTGAATGGTATTATAGAAAATACACTTCATCTCTCGGAAAAAGCCAGTGGTATAGAAAATATTTCCTACTAGGGGTCCAGATACCCTAGTTTCCAGGTCCCTGGTTTGGCTTGGGCCGAGAAACTCTGTGTGTTTATTGCTTTTGTCACGCTCACTAAGCGTCTAAAATCTTGGCTCAGTATTTTTACCCGTTCCGTGGATATACTTTTTTCAGTTTTGTATATCGGTAGGGGAGCATATTTGGATTCATATTTGTAGAAACTTTTTTATTTTTAGATGTACTTTCTACCCTAGAAATATTTGCACATCGAGCTGTTTTGTATTTTCAAACTCAAAATAAGTCGATGGGATATGATTTACCCCTATGCAAAAGTATTATGTTTGTCCGTTAGAGAGCCTTCAAAGTTTTCTTTTGAAAACACATTTCTTAAGATATCTTAAGAACCGATATCCGATTTGATTGAAATTTGGAACACGTGTTTTGCTAGACGTCTTAATATTTGACTCATAAAAAATCCGAAAGGGTTCGACAAACATGAAAATTATAGCAAAATTGTTTCGCAACTCTCCCGGCGACTATGAATGTCTTATTCGAAAGATCATTTTGTTTACTTCTTATAAAAACAGGCCATCTCGCATAGTTTTCGTGAAAAAATGATGTTATTCGAAGCTGTTTTTTAAAAAAAAATTTCATTACATCAAGTGTTACAATCTAGTAGGCATTTAATTGACGGAATTGTGGGATGTTACGTCAGTATCAGATTATTTCTTATAACAAGCTTCATAAAGTTTAAATTAAGTTATGTTTATATTTAATTGTTAATTTAATGTTTTGTCTTAATAAATTTTAAATTAATTAACGTTTGTGATTATTTTTGGTCAATTTGTTGTTGATGTTGCTTATTTCTGGCGTGAATATGAAATATTGTTTTTGCGAACTGATATGTTGTTCGTACTTGGTCTCTGCGAAGGTAATTGCAGAAAAGTGTTCGCGTGTATCAAGAAAATCTTGTTCACAAATGAGCCATGTTTTACCCGACGTGGTATGATAATTTTCCATAATACAGATGTTTACGCTGCAGAAAATGTGCATGCAGTTTCAGGAAGACATTCTCAATGTACGTTTAAAATTCACCTTTGGATGGGGCTTATCGGTGACTTTTTAGTTGGTACATTTAGGTTGCATGATAAATTAAACGAAGATAACTATCTTTTTCTACAATACACTTGAATTATTAGAAGAACCGCCTCTGAATGTAAGAACAGGTCAAGAAGCTCCAACTCAATGGGCACTCTGTTCAACGGATCTTAATCATTGCGGTTTTTCAATATGGGGAGCATTAAAAATAAAGGTATTCGAGGTTCAGATAGACGCAACTCAACTATGTGGCAGGATTAAAATTCTGCAAATACAAGAAATAATGACATCTCAGAAAAAGTTGACTATATAATTTTTTGCGCCGGATTGTTACCTTGCAGGACCGAAAATGGTGGTCATATTGAACACCTTTTATAAAAGATTCGCACTATCGCCTTTATTAAATAAAATTTTAATTGATAATATCATACTTGTTTATTTTCGCTACACTCAAATAATTAATTAAACGGTTGGGAACCTCTTGATGCAACTCATTTTTTCCCAAAAACAATCCGCCATGGTCTGTTTTTATAGGAGACCAAACGTGAGATAAATAAAAAGATCTGCTTAATAAAAAAAATCTGCTATAATTCATGTAGCAGCGGGGGTAGTTTTGATCCACCTCGAACCCTTTAGTTTTTCGTAAAAGTCAAGTCAGGTAAATCATATCCAATCGACTTATCTTAAGTCTAAAAATACGTAGAACTTCTATGTCTGCGGAATATTGGGACACTCTGTATAATACATACACCAATAACCAGTGTTGCCACTTACTCGTTGTAATACGCCAGTATATATATATATTGATGATAACGTACTGTATCCTCTTCAGTCCACACTTCCAGCCCACTGGACATTTTTTGTAATATTTCTGTAGAGGTTCACGATGAACTAGTAGGATTTCCGGCCCGCTGTGCAGCGGACTGGACGTTCTAATATACGCCGTAAAATTTTCGGTAAAAAATATTTGGCAACGTTGATGCTGTTTCAGTTTTAATTTGTCGGTGCACGTGCTTTGAGGTTAGGGATGGCGTGCTATCAGAAACTAGGTAATATTTGCATTTTAATCTAATGTTTTGATAAAATATTAGTTAGAAATAAATAAAATAACTATAATTTAGTATATATAATATACCTACAGAAATTGTGTGGTATCTCTGCATAGCAACCGGTTTTTGATTATGTGCAGTATTTTGGACATGGGGATTCTATTTGGTTCAAGTTTATAAGCAGTTTTTTGATTTTTGACGTAATTGATTGTTATCATTTTGTTTTGTGACTTCTACTAGAGCGATGATGAGGAAGAAGTCGTCCCTGAAGTCAATGACACAATTGAGGCAAGTGATGTCGAAGAGGCTGTTCTTGAGCCGCCAGACGCAGATGCAGTTCCTGATACCGTTGAAGAGGAGTCTGACGATGATGTACCTTTGTCCAAAATAAGAGACCAGCTACTTCAGAAGCACAACAAAAACAAAAAAACAGAAGAAAAATGGAAAAGAGGAGTTTTTTTGAAGTCTACCTTGATCCGGTGGCAGGTACAAGATGATCATGAGTATTGGTCACCGCTATTTTTTGTAATATTTCCCAGATGAGTTTTGGGAAAATTTGGCAGAACAAAGGAATATTCGTGCCATGCAGCGAAACGAAAAGAAACCTCTAAAGTCAACAGCCAAAGAATATCGCACATTGGTTGGAATACATATTTTAATGGGCATTTTTGGACTCCCACGATTGCGGCTGTATTTCATGAAGGGAATTGAAATATCTAGCATCACTCAATTACCAAGAGACCGTATTTTCAAATTAAGAAATTTTCTACACGTTGTTAATAACCTTAGTCTTCCAAATGAGGTAAAGAAGTCAAATCGGCTGTAGAAAGTTCAACCTAACATCGATTCGGTTCGTAGAAAATGTGTCACTTTACCAAGAAGTAAAGAACTGTGCATCGACGAACAAATGATCCCATTCACACCTTCTGGACTCGTACTAGATTTTTTTATTTACCAAGGAGCAAAAACTTGGCCGGATGGTTCTCCCGATCAAAATTTAGGAATAGGTGGTTCGGTTGTTAAGAAGCTTGCAGCAGATTTGTCACCAGGGCACATAATTTATTTTGATCGTTATTTTACTTCAGTTAGTCTACTGGATCATTTACTGACACAAGGAATATTGGGAACGGGAACAATTACGAACAACCGGATTCCACGAGATTTTAGAAACAAAATGAAAAATGATAAAGAGCTGCTCTCAGAAGGTCGCGGTTCCTTCGACAAATTCATAAGAGAAGACAAAAAGTGTACCATTCTCAAATGGATAGACAACAGATCAGTTACAATGGCATCATCATCAACAGGTTCTGCACCGCAAACAGACGTACGTCGATGGGATAACAAGAATTCAAAATATATTCTTGTCCCATGTCCAAATTCTGTAACTAGTAACATCCGTTCTATGGGAGTAGACTTGTGTGATAGACTTAATATCTTATTATCGAATCTGTATGCGAACCAAAAAATGGCCACTGAGAGTTTCCTGGCATTTTATCGATCTAGCAATCACAAATTCATGGATCGAATACCGACAAGACTGCATCGCTCATGGAGATAGGAAAAGCTCAATCATGGATTTACTTGAATTCAAACTGTATATTGGAAAATGTCTTGCCCTTGGGGCACAAACAACAGTTTCCCAAGATCCTAGACCATCCACCCCAGATGAAGAATCGAGCCGACCTGCTAAAAAATGCAAGAAGTCGAAGATACCACCAAGAGATGTTAGGACCACTGGTAATGAATATTTACCAATATGTAGTGTAAATAACAAAAATTCCTATATGCGCTGCCGTAATCTAGGTTGTACAAAAAAAAACAAGAATTTTCTGTTTGAAATGTGAGATATATTTGTGTATTTCTCCAGAAAGGCAATGTTTCTTTGAATTTCATAATTAGATAGTTGAATCCATTTGTCCAAGATACTGGACATGTTATATATTTTTTTTGAAGTAAAGTTTATTTGTAAAATATATTTTCTTGCTTTTTTTGAATCCTGGCAAAGTTATTTTACCTAAAATTTCAAGAAAAGAAAATAAAACAATGTCTTGGGACTGAAGAGGGTATAGCTTCACATCAGATCCAGATCCCTGTGCTAATGAAATCATCGCCTTGTAAATATTCAATTTTCTGGTGATTGACCATGTATGGTAGCTGGCTGAACGCTTGTATGCGACATATCGGCCTGCTGCTAATTTAAATCTCAATTTGAACCGTGGCTGGCCATTACAATAAATCAGTGCAACACCCCTCAGCACACCAGCAATCGTACTGTATCTAGACACTCTCGCACCCTCCCTTCAGGGGTGCATACTGAATTCGGAAAATGTAGTAGGGAAGCTAAAATAGGTTTTCTTGGACGGTGAATGGTCCACTTACTCTGTTGCTCTAAGAAAAAACTGTTTTCATTGCTAACATGAAAAATCGCTATTTTTATCGCATTCTTCTAAATCTAAAGAAAAGTAACATTTCTTCTCCTAAGTAATAATAATCTTTATTAATTGAAAGCGAGGTAGAAAGATATTAATTGATACCCGGAAAACGCAAAGTTCAGCTTTCATTCCTAGAGGAATAGCTGGCTTTCCACTTAACCCCACATAACGCTCTTAACTGAGTTATCTAAATTTAAGCTTTAAAGGTGAAGCTATAACAATGAGATGAGATACAAAAATAAAATATACTAAGTGACATATAAATCCGAACACCCAGTTTAAATGGTTTTATTTTAATAAAAGTTGGTGAATGTATTTATCTTACTGTAAATAACAAGTGAAAAAATGTTCAGCCTTATCAGTTGGGCATTACGGTTTTTATACTGCTTTTTTTTAATTCACTAACGCTCTAAAAATGAATATTTCAGCCGCAGTAAAGAATCAACGTTGGCGGATTTTGGTTCTTGACATCCTTTACGATCGGTTACGATGCCTAGAGTACGGAGACCTGTACGATTTCGTCAACTTAGTGAGTTTGATAGGGGCCGTATAGTGGGACTTCGGGAAGCTGGACCTTCTTTTCGGGCAATTGCAGTTAGAGTGCAAAGAAGTGTAGACACTGTGGTTAGGTGTTGTCCGGCATGGCTTCGAGAAGGCCGTACGCAAAGAGCAAGGGGCACTGGACGCCGCCGTAGAACAACAGACCGTGAAGATCGCCGCCTAAGATTATTGGCCGTAAGGGACCGTTTCTCCACTACCAGGTCCATTGCAAATGAATGGTTTGCAGAACACGGAAGATCTATTGGCATGCGAAGTGTTTACCGACGAATGAGAAGTTTTGGCTTGTTTTCATACCGGCCACACTGGGTCCTCCCTTTAACTCGAGACCACCGACGTAATCGCCTTGAGTGGTGCAGACAACGGTCACTCGGGGATCAGGAATGGAACAGTGACGAGTCTCGATTTTGTTTAGGCATGCACGATGGTCGTGCCAGGGTTAGAAGGCGACGTGGTGAAAGGAGGAATCCACAGTTTTTTGTTGAAAGACATGTTCATCACACTGTTGGAGTTATGGTTTGGGGTGCTATAGCTTATGGTTCCAGGTCACCTTTAATCCGACCACATGTTGCAAGAGTCACAATAGACTTCTTTCAACATAATGATGTCACATTGTTACCATGGCCACCAAGATCTCTCGACTTATCCCCTTGAGCACGTGTGGGATATGATGGGTAGGAGATTGCTCAATTTGCAACGTCCTCCTCAGACTCTAGAAGCACTTCGAGAGGAGTTGGTGGTTGCCTGGAATGAGATACCACAGGAGGACATTGACCACCTGATCAGAAGCATGCCTAGGCGCGTTAGAGAATGCGTAGCACATCAGGGTGCATCCACACATTATTAAAGGTCAAAGGGCTTTAAAGCAGTGCAATCATTTTGAAATTTTTATCATTTACTTATTATGCTTCATTAAGTACTTATACAAAATTTTATTAAAATAAAACCATTTAAACTGGGTGTTCGGATTTATATGTCACTTAGTATACAATTAAAAGCAGAAGTTTCAAAACAATGGCGTAATTAATACATACATATAAAAGAAATGAAGCATTGACAGAATACAGAGACAGAAAGAAAATAGGAAAAAGTACAAAGCGTAGAAAAAAGCTATGTAAATATTTAAAATGTTTCATTACTGTAGAGAGATCTTAGAAACCTAAAGAAGCTTTTTATAAGAGAATATAGCGATTTGGTAGATAATGATAATTAAATTTTTAGTAGGCATATCATGAATGTGTGCCTTTATGTAGAGATTCTGTAGCTTATTGGGCACAGAAATGTGACTGTTATCAAACCCTTCATCCGTTTTTGAATATTACTAATATTTATTGTTCACTGCAAGTCAGTACAGAGTCCATTTTATAACTTGAGGTATTGTTATTGATTGTATTTACTTATCCCATAATTTTGACAGTCATGGTACTTGATATATTGGAGTTTCCGAAAATAAGTAGGAAACGAATAAGGTGTCGAGATACGCAGCAGCTCCTATCTTTGTTGGACTCTATTATGTGTGCTTTATTCGGTCAGTGGTGCCGGATGCTCAGAAAATTATCAGATATGCTATATTTCAAATCAAATGTGGTCATATATCGAAACCACCAGATTTGAATGATGACTGCAACCTACAACTAAAAAATAAAACAATCTTTTTAACTCCAATAGATCATGATGAATTGCTCAGAACTGTATGCAACCTAAAAGACACAAAAAGTTGTGACGATGACATCGTTCCAATTTCCATCATTAAAAAAATGATAACCATAATATCTGTCCCTCTTCTTAACATCCTAAATACATCTCTTGGTGAAAGGGAATTCCCAGAAGCATTAAAAATGGCACTTGTATTACCAATCTTTAAAAAAGGCGATCCTGATGATATGAACAACTACCGTGCTATTAGCTTGCGGATACATTTTTTGAAAATTTTTGAAATTGCTTATAACAACCGTCTTATAAATGTTTTCCAATCAAATAACCAACATGGCTTCATGAAAGGTAGAGTTGTGAACAGTGAAACAGCACTGTTCGATTTCACAACAGCAATCTATGAATATCGAGAGAATCCACGAGCAGCATGTGGTTTATTTGTGGACCTATCAAAAGCATTTGATTGCATTGATCACGAAATGCATATTGCTAAACAAATTATATAAATATGGTATACGCGGGAATGCGTACTACTGGCTTAAATCTTGTCTCTGTAATAGAAGACAGAAAGTAATTTTGAACAAAACTGGGAAACGAATAACATCTAGTCCTCGGACATATAGTACTGATGTTCCTCAAGGCAGTACACTGGGCCCAACATTGTTTATTATTTATATTAATAATATATCCACCACCACGGAAAACACGCAAAATCTAAGTTTCATCTTTGCAGATGATATAACTACGAGGGATGTCTTTTAAGTTTTGCATATGGAAATAAAACAACACGGTAGGTAGTTTTAAATGACTTTATTATTTTTCGAAGTATTCTCCGCGAAGATTAATACACATCTGCATGAGCTCGAATCAATTTTCGAAGCACTTATTCCACTCGTTTGCTGACAGATCCAAAATGGCATTTTTGAATGCGTCAACTGCTTCTTCTGGTGACTGGAACCTTCGACCACGCAGTCTGTTTTTAATTTTCGGGAAAGTAAAGAAATCGTTAGGACTTAGATCGGGACTATATGGAGGAAGGTCCAATAATTACACGTTTTGTTCCGTTAAATACTGCCTGGTTTTTTGGGATGTGTGCGAGCTTGCATTGTCTTGGTGGAGGACGATTCTTCTATCGAGATTTTTCGAAGCTCTGTGATGACTTTTGGCAAACACATGGTGGTATACCAATCCGCAGTAACAGTTCTTTGCAATATGACCCGCTTTTGACACAAATGTCGCGACTATCTTTTTCGAAACACTTCGAGAACGGATGACTTTTGTTGGCTTTTCTTCACCTTGAAACACCCAAACAGCCAACTGTCTTTTATTTTCTGGTTCATTACAGTAAATCCACGATTCATCACCACCAGCAATGCTATAGGTACACATTTTTTGAGTTTCCGGAATTGAAACGGTCAAGCGTTTTTTGGCACCAATTAACCCTGGCTGCTTTCTGCTCTTCAGTCAACAAGTGGGGTATCCAACGAGAAACTAGTTTTCTTACCCCTAATTCTTCCTGATTTTTTTTTTAAATTGAGGTCTTTGAGATCTTCAAGGACTCCTCAATCTCTTCAATGATGAGTTTGCGCACAGCATTGACGTTTTCCTGTGTGACTGTCGTTTTTAGTGCACCCACCCTGGGATCGTCGCTAAGACTCACCCGTCCACGTTTGAATTCTCCGTACCGACGGGAAATTGTCGACTTCGTTGCCGAAAACAGACAGTAACTCAGCAAGGCATTCTTGTTGCGATAATTGTCTCTGAAAGTTGTAATAAATTATGGCGTGAAAATGTTCTCGGTTGAGTTCCATTTTTCTAATGACTTGGTGACACTTAAAAATTCACTGTAGTGAGAACACTGCACGTATTGTTGTGAAACTTTGAATTTAAGTTTACTAAAGAGTGAGGTTAAGATTCAGTACTGACGTTCGATCCACGCGGCCTACTATGTTTCTATATGCAAAACTTAAAAGACATCCCTCGTATTCTGATACCATATAAAGGAATCTGATATCCGAATCTTGATAGAGACCCAAATAAACCATATTCAAAACTGGCTGCAGGTGAATAAGTTAGCATTCAACATTCAAAAAC